GATCTCTAACTTCTGGACAGAACTCGTGCAACATATGCGACAATGGTGCCATGGAGACACATACTTTGTGATAGGTATTGATGCAAATGCCCATTTTGTCGACAGCTCTGAGCCCCATATTGGCCCCGAAGGACTCGAGGAAGTCGGCAACTACGGAGCTGATTGTTTCCGACAACTTCTAGAAGAGTTCGGCTGTTTTGTCCCGGCAACCTTCCCTGATGTGCATTATGGAGAGAATTGGACCTGGCTCAGTCCGGCAAACGGTTCCAAAGCAAGGTGTGATTATGTTGCGATTCCTCTGCAGCCGAGCCCGAACTGCATGAAAAGCTATGTGATTGACAACCTCGATATTGGAACCAAATCACCAGATCACCGGCCAGTCGTTCTCGAGCTTGTTTTGCCAAAAGTAAAGAAGGTGCGGCGATCTAAACAGAACCAACTAGATCGGAAAAAGCTCCAAGCAGCCACTTCAGATCAGATTGCATCGATCCTACAGGACGTGCCTGCCCACCTATGGCATGAAGATATTGAGAGACATGCAGTATCACTTTCGGAGCAGATAGCCACCAGGTTGGCAACAGCTTTCCCAAAACCCCGTTCTGGACCACGAAGTGGTTTCATTTCTGAGGCGACTTGGGAGCTCCGTTCAAGGCGCATGGCTCTTCGGCGTGAAATCCAGAGCCTTCGACATAGCCTGGAGGTCATGACTACAAGATGGACACTACATTGGTGGCAGGGAAAAATACGAGTTGGGGCATACTTTGAGCTCTATTGCTGCTTCTTCCGCCAGTTCGGCCTGCTCCGTACCAAACAGAGACAGAGCTCGCAGGAAGCCAAGAGCTTGAAAAAGCAACTTCGGTTGGACAAGACTGGTTTTCTTGAAGAGCTGGCCTCCCAAGCGAAGACCATGAGCCAGAGTGATTTTCACCAAGCCATGCGTAATGCTGGAGTGCGAAGCAAGAAAAAGCCAGGCCCTATCCAGCCATTGCCAATGATATCGGATGAGTCGGGGACTGTCATCACCGGTTATAAACTGTTGGCCGAGAGATGGCGAGAGTACTTTTCCATGCAAGAAGATGGTGTTCCTCACGATCCTGAAAGTATGCTTGCCCTTTGCGATGAACTAGCCAGCCGGCCGAAGCCCCAACCGGCCTGGGATGACTTACCGACCTTCCTCCAGATCGAAAGGCAATTTCGCATGACAAAAAAAGCGAAAGCTTACTTTGTCGATGAGCTGCCAGGTGACGTGTTTCACATTGCGCCCTCTGTAATGGCGACCTTGTTTTATCCACTATACCTCAAAGAAGTCGTCTTCCTGCGAGAATGTTTTGTTCATAAAGGAGGCAACTTGGTGCCAGCCTATAAAAAAGGAAGCCCAGCGCAATGCTCAAGTTACAGGAGCCTTTTCGTCAGTTCACCGGCTAGCAAAGCGCTGCATGCAGTGTACAGGAAAGAGCTGATACAAGTCTTTGAAAACAACCGATTGCCCCTGCAACTCGGAGGAATCCCTGGACATTCGATTACACAAGCCGCACATGTCCTGCGGTTGTTCCACCGAAGTGCAGCAAGACAGAAACGCAGTTCAGCGGTCTTATTCGTTGATATAAGCAATGCCTTCTACCGGTTGCTGAGAAGGCACATAGTCAGCTCGCATATTGATGAGAGATCGATCAAAGCCCTTTTTGCTGATTCGCACTTGCCGCCAGAAGCCTACGCAGAATTCCAAGAATTGATGCGTCCTGGGCCGGCAATAGAAGCCTCCGAAGTACCGGAGTATGTAAAGCACCTATTCCAAGCCTTCTATGAAGCTACCTGGTATAGAATCAGAGGTACTGACACCCTAACACAGTCCCGCAGAGGATCCCGACCAGGAGATACGTTTGCAGATATGACTTTCGGATTTGCAATGAACCGAATCCTGGGCCCGGTCTTTCGAACTCTGACAGAGCAATTCCCTGAGCTGGATGTTCATGTGGCCACAAACATGGACCCATATGACGACACCGGCCCTCGGCAATCGCTTGGGATCCTAGCGCCAATCTGGGCAGATGATCTGGCCGTCTCGTTTAGTGCAAGTTCGCCAGAGCGGGTAGTCAGTCTCGCGCAAGAAGTCTCTGGACAAATCTTTGATAGGCTTACTATAGCGGGACTTACTCCGAATCTAAGCAAAGGGAAGACAGAGCTCATTCTAGACTGTCGAGGCCCGAACGCTGTACATGTAAGAAGAGAGCTATCGCACAACGACCATGCGATATCGACGACTTCAAAGTTACTCCTGGAGCCTTTGCGCATAGTAGGGAGCTATAAACACTTGGGCTCGTGGATCGAGACTAAAATCGGCATCAGGAAAGAAGTTCGGACCAAGTTTGCGGCTGCACATGAAGTGTTAACCAGATATAGAGCACAGATCTTTTGCAACCGAAGACTTCCCCTTGATCGAAAGCGACTGTTTTTCGAGTCGCTAGTGCTCTCAACTATCATCTTCAATGCGGCTATATGGCAAGCACCGACACAAAGACAAGCCACCCTAATCCAAACGAGCTTTACAAAGCTCTATAGACGATTTGCAGTCCAACACTTCGGGCAAAAGGCCATAAAGTGGTCGACGAGGCAGGTGCTCTTTGAAACGGGACTACATAGTTCTGAAACTGTCATCTGCGTTGCCCGGCTACGATATGCTGGACATCTCGTCCATCAAGGACAGGCCCATCTATGGGCGCTTTTGCGCGAAGAACGACAGAGGTGGCACCAGGTCGAGGCAGACATTCAATGGCTGCAAATGTATTGCCCGGAAGCCGATGTTCCTCATCCGAGGCAGGATTGGAATGCATGGAAAGAACTTGTCTTGTCTTCGACAAATTCCTGGAAGTCTCTGATCCGACGAGCAGCTGCTCGATGTAGAGCATTTGAGAGCCGAAGATACTCATGGGAGGCATGGCGCGCTGAAATTCATGAAGATGTTTTGCAAACAGGGGGTGTCGTGCCAGACATGCCGATAGATCAGTCGAAGCAGGGTAAACAACATTACTGTTTAAGTTGCAGAAGATGTTTCTCTACTGCATCGGCTTGTTCGGTCCATGCCTTCAAAGCCCATGATCGGATCACGAAGGCTCGGAACTTCGTTACTGGCACATGCTGTGAGATTTGTCTCAAGGTCTTTGCCTGCCATACAGACCTGGTCAATCACGTTAATAGAGGACAGCACTGTATGGATGGCTACATCCAAAAAGGCCAAAGAGTATCTAGAGAACCAGGAGTCAATAGTAGACTCGCGAACCAAAGCAGGGCAGACCTGCAAGAGCCGTACATGCAGGGTGAAGGTCCCTTACCGCTACCAGAGAACCAGGCTCCTGCGGATACTTTTGTAACGGCCCAATCAGCTGAATTGCAACGGAATTGGGAGGCATCAATTGATGGACGGCATGAAGCACGTGCCATCCTTGACTCGCTTCGCAAAGCCACCTGCCAAACATGCCTTTACCATGATGAAATTGTTGCGCTATTTGTTGGTTGGGGTAAAAAACGAATCGAACACGATGAAGAAGCATCACTAGCTTTTGTACAAGCTTTTGCATTGTTCCCTCGGTTTGCAACCTTCGAATGGTTTGTAGGAGAAGCACAACCAGTGACTTACGTGCATGAGCAAGCAATGGCCTTCTTCAGGCACGGCTCGGAACAGATGCATCCTTTGACCCTGCCGCGGCCTGAGCGTGTTCGATATCGACCCCGCATGGTTGCCCACCTATTCTCTGGAGCACGAAGAACCGCCGATGTGCAGGAATTCTTCGAGGCAAAAGGATTTGTCGCCATTTCGGTCGATATAATCTTTAACGCAGAGTGGGGTGACCTCAGCAAGCCCCAAACCTTCCATTTGTTTCGTGAAGCGATTCGTCATGGATGGTTGATTGCGTGGATCGCGGGGCCACCCTGCGAGACCTGGAGCAGGGCACGCGCAAATGAGATGCCAAATGGACCACGGCCTGTTCGGCGACGTGGATATCCATGGGGCAACCACGATTTGACAAGTCGAGAAGATCGACAAGTTACCATGGGGAGCCTCCTCCTGAGCATTGCCTTGAAGCTTTTCTGGACACCCATGGTGTATGGCGACACGGCGATCTTGGAGCATCCGGCGGACTTGGGAGACAGTTTGAATGCCCCAAGTATATGGAGGCTCAGCGTGATTTTGTACTTCCTTCGTTTCACATGTTGTGAAAAAGTTGACCTACTCCAGGGTCACTACGGAGGACTTACACCAAAGCCAACGACGCTTTTAGTAGCACACGGTGCTGAGGACAGTAGCCACTTTTTACAACAGCTACGGACCACCCCTCTACCGCGGCGCGCGGCCACGGGAAAGAATGAGGACGGAACGTGGAAAACTGCGGTACTAAAACAGTACCCAGCTGGGCTCTGTCGCGCACTTTGCAGCCTAGTGGAAGCAGGACAATCCCATAAGAGCAAAGATGGGGGTGAAATTCCCAACGAGTTTAGGGATGCTGTTGCTGACTTGTTACAGGATTTCAATTTCCAAGCTCAGATGGGACCTGACTTCCATGGCTGATGAATGCAAGAAATTCGAAATTAGATGCATTTCGACCGCGGGCGACAGCCTATGGTAACCGAAAGAGGAAAAGAGGGGGTCATGTTCAATGAATCAAGCTGGAAGCTGTTCGACATGTCGGTGGCCCATGCCCAAGTGTTTTCCCGCTCCGGCAGTTTCTGAACACTGGACAAGGTTAAATACTCACAATCACCCAGCAGCAATCACTGGAACCACGGGTGGCTTACTGGCGACTGCACTCCTGAAGTAGCCTGCGTCCAAATCACCCCTTTAGGGTGGGGATCACGCTTGGAAAGTACATTGGTTTCAGAGTAGATGGCACAAACTAAAACTACAGTATATAGATTTAAATATATATAAGATGTCTTTTTAGATTGGGGTCCATATAAACCACCAATCTTGGCGGCCCTTGTGCCATCCACTCGGATCACGCGAGGAAGCCTTCACCTCTGTCACCTGGGTCCTTTCTGGCGGTCTCCCAATCCACCGTGTCGCTGAGGAGAAGCGGCAACTGGACACAACCATGGACGCTAAGCTCAAAAAATGGTGAGAAAAGGCAAGATGAGAAAGGTGTATATTGGGTGCGTGGCATTGGAATATGGAGACCGCTCAACCCACGGGTTTTGTAGATGGATTTAGCCGTTTTTTCCTTTTGCCAGGGGACCCTTTCAGGGTCTCCCTTTGAAATCCTTTGAATACACTTCTCCATGACCCGAAAACAACAAACTAAATCCTCTTTGATCATTTTTTTGATTCGGCTCCTTTTGTTTTGATCTTCAACATGGCTTGGAGTTTTGGGCTTATCCCGGATTTGCACAGACATCTATTTGCCAATTTTTGCCAGGTGATCAGAATGTAATATCACTCCATGATCCCCCACTTCAGAAAGGACCCTTGCAATTGCAAGTCTAAAAAACCTTATAAACGAATGGCCACTCGGTAAAGTAAAGACCATTAAATCAATGGTAGTTGGGGCTATTGTTTCCCTCTGATATATTGGGTGGCCAGATGTGGTGGCCACATGACCCATCGCCAAGCCGCTCAGGAAGCTGGCGTGAGTGCAGGCCTTCTTCCGAATCGAGTGTCCATCTCCCGTGCATGCGTGAAATCGGCACGGTCTGCAGGCGTGGTGGATCGACGCCGCAGGAGTCGCTGGATTCGGAGCTGGTGAAAAACCCGGGTTCAGCTGGCGGTTTCCGGAGCTCTTTCCCAAAAAGGTGTTGAATCTGAACGAACATCCTGGAAGAAATGTCCTTTTGAGGTCTTGGCATATGTATCGAGCTTGCCCTTTCGGTAGAGGAAGGTCTCGCCAGGGGAATTTCCTTTCAGATGCCGACGTCCTATATATATAGATACTTAATTACTGTATTACGCTAAGGCTATGTCTATATATATATGGTGTTATTTATTTATTTATTTATATACACATGTATATATATATATATCACTTTATAGATTAAGAATCAGTGTATTGACGCTTTTAAAAAACTTGTGAGTCATTCTTTGAGTCTTTGCTGTAAGAACAGCTGCCGCCTTTTGATTTGATATTGTGAGTTAACAACGTGTTTATTGAATTGTTCATTGACGGCTTCAAGCTTCTGTCGCAAAAGTTTCCGCAAAAGGGTTGGACAAACAGTGTATGCCCAGCGCCCGCAAAAGGCAGAACTGTGGCCGTGAAAGGACTGCGATAGCCTGTTGTGAAGGGATGCGGCAGTAACCAAGCCAGTTCCAATACGGCTTTCCCCTGTCCACACAGTTCACTTGGAAGGGCAACAAGCACAATGCAAACCTGCGTAAACCCGGCACAAACCCGCCCAACCTAATGCAGACACAATTCCCTAAAATTGTGCACCACCTCGATTCACCTGGGCTCCCACATCACACTGCATGCCCCTCCCTATTGTCATCCCTATATTGGCACTATCATATCGCAACAAGTTTGGACTTCATCCGTCAGTAACGAAGCAAAGTTCATTTGCACCTCTTTGCACCATGTGCGGAACCACCTTGCGCTGGAAGAACGGAGCTAGTCCCGCCCTTGGCCGCGGCCGGGCCCAACCAGGTCGAAGTCGAGACTCCGACCGCTCCCGGACGCGCAGCCGGAGCGCGGACGACCTGCACGATGCGCCCTGGAGGAAAGCAGCCCTGGAGGCGAGAGCGCTGGGTTTGGCCGGTGGGGCGGAGCGCAAGACATGGCAGGGTGGCGAGTTTGACAGGATGAAGAGAGGGTGGTTCCGAGAAAGCTCCAGGAAGTCTAAATGCAAACAGTGCAGCTGCCATGCAGTGTTTGTCCAAATGCGAATGTTTGCCCATGGATCCGAAAGGAGGCCCTTGGGATTTGTTTGATGTTGAAGCTTTATACAGTATATTATTTCATGAGCGAGTGGGGTCAGAAACAATGGGCCGAAGAACATGGGAGGAAAGGAGCAGCACACGAGACTGGAATATATGACCCTGACATGGCAATTCTTCGAGGATTCCTTGTGGGATTCTCACTTGCCCAAATACACCCCACACCTGAAGGCCAACCTCGTATACACTGCTGCTAATCACTCAGGAAACAGGAAGGGCATGGCAGTCCACTGTGCGAGTTGGACAAACCGAGGCAAAAAGAGCCTGAACATGTCCATGGTGGCTAATGACAGAGTAGTAGTCACGTGAAGAATGAGTGGGTAAGCTTCATGTTGCGTTCTGCACTCCAAACTGGTCAGCTCCACGCAGCTTCAAGTTTGAAGGTCAATCTCTTGTGTTGACATCGTCCCTGCGACTGCTAGGTGACCCAAGAGCAGAGAGAGAAGCACATGGCGCGGCGGTGCAAGGTTCCTGAGTTTGTTCAACAGAATGGTTCCCAGGACCATCCTGTCAGGGATCTTGGGGCGCCCAATTGAAGCACACATAGATAATAACAAATCTATTGGTGCCCCCCCAACAGATGCTCCTGGTAGAGACTTTTGATGCCTTTTGTGATCGGCAAGAACTGACTCTCCAAAAGTCTTAGAGTATGTTCGAATGAAAGATTTGTAACAACAAGGGGTGGGTATGTCTCCAAAATTGCTATCATTCGAGGGACCCCTTAATAATGTATATCCACTGGAGGGTAATGTATTCAATACATTTGGGTGAGTTGGTCAGGAGTCCAGCAGTGTTGAAAGGACCCCACTCAAAGGTTTCTGGGTAACAACCGAACAAGATTTTTTTCGATCTTTCTTGTGTTTTTTTTCCTGCTTCTTTGCGTCCATGCTGTCAAGCTAGTGTGCTAGCGATGGTGCCAGTGTCAATGAAGAAGGCTACCTGGACAATGCAACAGGATGCTGTCCATCCGACTGGATGCCACAGGAACTTCTCGAGACAGCCACCTAAGAAGCGGTGGGAAAACCTTCTTTGTTGTGCCCACCCTTTGGTGCTCTGTGGCAGCATCTGCCATGGCAACAGCAAGTCCGCATCCAGACCTTCTGCTTCTACACACCTCTAGACATCTAGATCTCTAGGCCTCAAAACAATGCTTGGGGTCTCTTTCGGGGACATGATTGAAAACATGTTCTTGCAAATCTATATAATATCTTCCAATATTATCCAAGCCGAGCCCATTGTTTTTTTACAACGCTCTTATGAAAAGCTTCGCCTCAACAATCTTCAATTCTGTGCACAATAGAAAGAGGGTTCACAATTATTAATAGGACCTTTCCATATTCTGGCTCCTGGTTTGCTTTGGAATGTGTTCCTTGACATGGCTATTTCAATATTATTCTTGCAAATCCAAACTTTCCAGAGTCCAACCGCATAATAATAGGTGTTTAAATGTTTTTAACAAAACTGTTTGTGAACAACTTCAACAGTCTTGAAAAGGGTGCCCCTTACAAGTGTCCAGAATCATTGTGTACTCTGCTTTGTTACAATTGTATGGTCACGCATGGCGGAAAACACTTGAAGCACGGATTTCTCACCTTTGCAATCAAAAACGCGAAAACACATCCAGAATCTCAGCCCTCTTTCTTAGTGTTTTCCTTCCTTCTTCTTGATGTTGTTTTTTTGTTTTCCTTCTTGTTCCTGTTCCTTCGCTTTCTTCCTTGTTACTGTTTCGTTGTGGATCTGTAAAGGTTTATTTCTGTGAGCCAGTGAGTTAGGTCCCGCTCGGTCCCTTTAATTTCATTTGGGTTTTCGAACGGTGCCTTTTTTGGTGTTCATTCCGTCTGGGTGTTCAGTCACCTCGACTTGTTGTGAGGCAAAGGCGAGGCAAGCGCAGAAGCTCCAATCGGGGCACTTTACCGCTGCAGACCTGATACTTGGACGGAGAAAAGGCGAGGCACACCTGCGTGTAGACCAACGTGCCACCTGAAAGCATCTCTGGGGTGGCTGGAGACACAATCTCACCATTGCCTCAAGCGAAGGCGCTGCCCGAGTCATTTTGGCAGTGGTATCACTGGGGCGGTGACACGACGGAACAGGGAATTCATATGTATATAGTATATATATAGTTCTTGGCTGGAAACGGCAAACCAAATTGATGTTCGTGACAACGGTGGCCAACCAAACAGCTGCAACGCCTAGTGATCTCATATTTTGGAACATCTCGGAGTTAGCAGGTTCATGTTTGTTTGCCGGGGGGTTGCTGATCCATGGTGGGTCATAACGGCTTTTGCAGCTCTTCGTGCAGAGGGGCACCTGAGGAACCATGCGAAGCTAAGACGTGAACAACATCTTCCAAAACCTAGGAACAATGTTTGCTACTGGCATCGCTACTAGGAGTTACTACTGTACTAGAAACAATGTTCGCTACTAGGAGCTTGATGTGTTCAGTGAGGATCGAACTCTGAAGTGTTTGGCTGCAGGAACCCTTCTACTGGCTTGCTACTCTAGTGTTCCATCCAGTTCTGAATGCTCAACATAGCCGGCCCCGGGGTTAGGCGGCTGCAATCTGCCACTCCGATGCTGAGTTTTGTTTTGGTGGGTTTTTTCGTGCTGAGGAAATATGGGGCTCAATCAGGCAATTGGCTGCTGGCACCCAATGGGCAATCTGACATTTGCCGCCTATGCCATGCAGCACTGCGGAAGAGGAAGGCATGAGACCCAAAAAGAATGCTAGCTGCCAGTCTGGTTGCCATCATTCTGCCGCTCATTGCATTTTCGATCTAATCATAGGCGTTTTTTGCCCTGCAACTACCTCAAGCAACGAACTTGGCAATTTGCCCCTGATAGCAGGGATGCTCTTGGTTCCAGCCGTGCCCGTTTGCATCGTTACGATGCCAACTGGCGTGAGTTGTGTGGTGAAGGTTTGCCGCTCTGTTGCGACTCCTTTTTATTCCTTTTCCAGATTCAGGTCCGCATGTTCATCGAGCTACTGTTCCAATTCCATGAAGGATTCAAGTTTAGCGAGAGCGAAGAGACCCACACATCAGGCTGTGCCGCCTCACTGTCCCAGGAGCAATCGTCTCTCTCCCTCTCCCTCTCCCTCTCTCTTTCTGTTGCACCTTCGTTTGACAGGAAACTCCACTCAGAATCTTGCAGATGTCAACTTTATTGAGACCCCAGTTTCTATCTTTCACCTACGGTTTCCATTTGCCTACAGTATTTTCCAGCTCCCAAAGGCGGTTTACATTATCAACTTGTAATGCAGCGAGCACAAATGATTGCCGCTTCTGTGCCTCCCAAGCGCAAGGAACGTAAGGGTGGAGCGAGGCAAAACAACCGGTGGTATGCATGATTGTGCATGTAGTGTCCACCTTTTTGAGAGTTGCGTCCGGCTTGACCAGAACATGCCGCCTCGCACAGCTCATATGATAATCTCTTCAGAAGTGCAGCAAGTATGTGATTTTGCTCAGCCAACTTCCAGCATTTCTTAAGGTCCAACCCTTCCAACTCCCAGCTGCACGAACCAACTCCCAGAGCTTGGATGAGCTCGGTATATTTCATGGGTCAATTTTCTCCGCGTGGTGGAAGCCAGCGCCCCGCAAGGCAAGTCAAAGCGTGTCCAAAACAGCATTTCGTTTGAACATTCGCTTAACACTTCGAGCTAGAAAGCCTGGTTCTCGAAGAGGGTGATTCATTTTACCAACATGCACAAGGGTAGATTTCAGCCATGGCCATGTTGGGCGATGATTGCTGTGGCCATTGCCAAGCACTGCGTGGATGACTATGATCACTTGAAGGCCGCCACCGGCCGAAGCCAAGGCAGTAGAAGGAAGAACCAGAAATGACGAGCCTTCAGGACACCCCACATTGAATGGAGCTGCAATTGATTGCAAGTGCACTGGGGGCAAGGAGGCCTCCGACCAAGTCTGGCATGTTTTTTTGCGGCCAGTTCCCTTCTTCCAACCAGTAATCATGTGATGTAGATGTGCAGAATTCCCTCAAGTATATTCCACCTATAGTGCCTACATCGACCGTGCCAGTGCCATGTCATTCCAGTTGTTTTTCAGGCTTGGAATGACTGGTTGAGAACCCTCAACTCCAAATTGGGGTGGGGCGCTTCTTCCATCTTCTTCCCACACCGGCGGCTCTAGAAGCGGCTTCAGGCCGGTGAGACTTGCACTGCCAAGTTAAAGGACCTCAGCTCAGGCGAGGACTGGATGGGAGGACTGGACGTGTTGGAACGTATTTTGAAGGCTTTGGTCATCTTTGGTCCCTATGGATTGGAAATGGTCGGAATGTTTTTTGCAGCGTGACCAGACATTTTTGGGGGGGGCATGGCTGGGATATGTTTCAAACCACCAACCAGCTGATGCTGATGGATGATGTGATGCGGTCAGATCTTAATATGTTTGATGCCCCAAATCTTGAGGAGGATCATCATCCATGAGTCCATGAGCTTGTGCCTATTCCAGTGATCAATCTTTAAGTGGGAAAGGGTCAGCATGGGTCAAAACCCCAAGAGGAATGAAGAGCCAAGAGTTCCAAAAGATGATGCTCCTTCATCAGGCAGACATGGGGTCTTCATTTTTGGCCCTCCGCAGGAACCGCACTCGGCAGGGAGCATCTCTGGATCTGCGCACCTTCCAAGAATGCCCTGAAAAGGCATCCTTCCATATGCACAGATCAAGAGGGCCACCTGTTGAGTGAGATTCCCCACAAGAGTTGATGCCCGGCTCATGAGACCTCCGGAGGAAAGCATCCCTTGTTGCCGACACAGCCCTCGCTGGGCTATGCCTGGGTTCATCGCGAACAGGACGAAGAGGGACCACTTTTTAGCAGATGGAAACAATGAGATGGGCCAAGCTCAAAGCACAAGCCATTAATTCTACCAAGGAATCTCGCTAGACTAACCAAGTCTGCACGAGGATTAGTTCCACTTGCCGCATGGACAGGCCTTTTAGTTGACCAACACTTGCTGTTTGCATCTCTGTGGTGGGCCATATTGACTATAATTACAAAAGCCCGACTGCCAGAAGCCCGACTGTGGCGCGCACATGCGCAGCCGAAACTGGTCACTTTTTAAAAGCGCAGCTTTCACACCTTGACGTGTGGCAACCCGGAAGGAGGCCCATTTCTCATCGAAGAAGTCCGCCAAGGAGGAGTTGAAGCGCCCCGGTGGAGGACATTTTGAGCTGTATCCCCAAACAAATTATATAAGAGAATTTGATCGGCAGGCACCCAACCCAACTGGTTAAATTGCTGGAGAATGTCACCAGTTTTCTTGAAGCTGCAGCAGCAGTGTTCTACAAGTAGTTACAGTCGTTGAAAGCTTGCCATTCAGGGAGCGGCTCTAGCTGGCTGATGTCCTCCAAAGGGGATGGTATTGTATAATTTCACTGGTTTGGCTGTTGGCTAGGTTTTGAGACAGATCTCTGGCGTTGGGCTTTGAACATCACGACAGTTTGGCCTGATTCTCCAGTTCTGAACCCAGAACCTCGAGCCAAGGAACACCAAGTTCCCTGTGGTGCGCCCGCCAAGGCAGTTCTCATGAGGTCGACCTCGTTCGTGCAGCGACGAGACGAGACGAGTTGTGCACTTCGAGGTGGATGATATTGGAGGTTCCATACCTTCAACATGCCCAGTCATCAAAGTGGAAGAGACCCTTGGGGGAGATGTGTTTTAAAGGCTTTGGCTTTCCACTTCCATGTGAGTTCTGGACGGCTGTGTGCATACAAGTAGCGAGAAGTCCCGGAAAACGGTTTGTTTTGTGACATCCTCGAGATTTGCAGTCAGTCAAAACTCAAGGAGACTGGGCAACCAAACCTAACCAAACCCAGACCCAGAGACTTTGCAGATTTTGGCCCTCTGAGCATGCTCACTTGCGCAGGTACTGGGCAACAACAACTTCTATTTGACAGACAGACATCACCACATTGCCGCCATGTACCTGTCCGACGACCAGGCGTATCTACCAGCGCTATTGGTCCAGACGTGCGTGCCAAAGCACCAGTCCACCGGGGTCTGGGCTTGGTTGGGTGGAAAAAAAACCCAGCATGAAGCAATACGGGATCGCAAGGTGAATCTCATCAACCCAAGTGGATGGGGATCCACCTCGTGCGTGACATGTTCATGCTGCTTGGGGTAAACAGAGCCGCCTAGTGAGCTGGAGCCGGCGGGTCGCAGGACATCTTCGACCTGGACATGGATGTCACCGCACCTCGGACCGCTCGCGCCTCCGGTCGATCTGTGGACGTTCCGAGGTCCAGAACTGGACACGCTCGTTAACCATCGTGAACCTTAGGAGCGGTCCGACGCTACGGACGTAGCTCCACAAACCAGTGGATCCAGAGGTGGGGCCTTGGGTGGTCGACCACTTGTCTGCCTGGATGTCGTCGGATGGCTCCCTGGAGCTTGAACGAACATGAACGAAAAGCACCCGCCATGCCGAAGCATACTGAAGTGTGAGCACTGTGAGCCAAAGGTTTCCTGCCTTGGGGGATGGCAAATAAGTGCACATAGTCATCAATCTGTCAGATCTACGGGGTTGCAAGACATGGTATGGCCTAGTATATTGGTTGGTAATGGGGGTGCCTTCTATTGGGACAAGGGCAGTTGTTAGACGCCGAGTTGCCTTTATTTAATTGCGATTTTGGGTGCAACCACGCTAGGACCACGGGTCCAGATAGGCCCACTCATGGAAACTCATACTTCCAAAACCTTGGAGGAGGAGTCCGCCTCGCCCCATTTGCGGAGTTTGCTGGTGACGCATGCAAAAAGCTTATGGAGCATGCGTCGATCGTGCGGCCAGGTATTTTGGGCCGGTCCCCATGTCTGTCTGAGAAAGCGTGCTGCGTACACCTACTTCGTCATCTTCCCAAAGAACTACAAAGTTTCAATACAAGTTTCACCACCCAAACCTCATGAGGTCTTTGGATGGTCTTTGGGAAGTAGAAGCCTCTTCAAATGAAAGAGCAGGGTTGGCAGGTGAATGTAGGTGAGTAGATGCTGCATCTAAACCATTCTAAACCAGTTGTTCAGATGCAAGGCCCCATGTTTTTCTCCTCAAGATTAGAGGGCACTTGTTCATGTGGTTCCGCCCCGGAAGCAAGGTGATTTGTGATTTGAGAACGCTAGGCCAGGTGTTGGGCGGGAGTGCTTGCTGCCCACGGGGACACAGAGCCCCAAGACCCGGTGGGGCCGCCAGGTGATACAACTGAGCTTGTCACGGGGGCCGACCAGATGAGGTTCATACGAGGTTCATACGAGGTTCTTGGATCGGTCAGGGCCCATGACGGTGTCATGGCAGATAGAACCGGGGGAGTCCTTTGCAGTTATACGTAGCTGGGTTTAAACACTTCCCCACCACTATCCTTGTATTCTTCAGTGCAGCAAACACCCGACAGGCAATTCAGAGTGGAGGTTCGGGGCAACCATTGCAGCACCTGGGACCCTATCACTGTCTTGGGTCCTTGATGTTGAGAGATGCTGATGGATTCTGATCGCGTGCGGTTGGAAACATCAAGATACACACTGCCCAAGATACTGCCCAGGAAACATACTTTATTTTTTGCAGACCAGTTGTGAGGCGTTCCCGAAACTGATGGTCAAAAGTGGCACTCTTCACCACGATTACTGTATATAGACTGGTATGGCAGGGGTGCACAAGCGGGGAAGTAGACACTCCTTCGCTCCTTATTGTGGAGCCATGGCCGCTTGCGCTCT